CAAGACTATCTTCTACATCTGTACCAAATTACGTCAAAACCTGTTCATCTGTTTAGGCTACAAACTCCTAACAAACATCCATCCATCCATCCATCTATCTATCTATCTATCTAAACTTTCGCCTTTAATAATATTAGAATGATTAAAACCATCATCATTTTGATTTAAAACTATATTTTGCTATTGACAGGTCTATTTTACCTGGTATTTGGTAGTTTAATATGATTCTATAGTAGTTTTCAGAAATCTTGAAGGCTCTTAAGTTTCCATGAGAGATACCGTACAAAAGAAATTTCAGGTTTAGATGGGAGAGGATGTTCTTCGTCACATTGGCTTACAGATGCCAAGTCATTTGAAAATAACTGTACTTAAAATTATAAAATAATTATTGTAATGTAGTAAATGAAACATCTTGTATAATGTTAAACTTAAAATTGATGAGAAATATAGTAAAGGCAAATACATACAGGACAATTTACTAGTTTTCTTCTAAAACTATTGTTTTATGCATCATTGTAATAAAAATCTTTAATGCAGGTTAAATGTACCAGCTGGAAGCTTGTGCTGAATTGAAGATGAGAAGCAAAGCAGTCCTTGGCAAGGTACTAGCACCTCTAAATTTAAGCAAAACAGACCTACCTATGACAGTCATAGTGGCAAAAATTCAATGTAACAATTTTTGTGTTTAGTCTTAAGTTTTTAAACTTAATATAAAGTAATGTATTTTGTAATTCTTTTTTCAATACAAGATGATGTATAACTACAAGCCCCATTTAAGGCTATACATAAATTTTATTAGTTATTTTCTTGCAATTACTTTAATTTTGAACAGTATAGATGTTAATTTAAAAACTATATGTACACAATTCTAAAGTTTACACAAAGATTTATTGTAGTTTGTTATTTAAAAAAAACAACATTGTAAATGTAATTAACTAGTATTGCACTGACTTGAAAGTCGAGAGATGTAATTTCAGGTATAAAATTATCTAATGTCCAAGGTCATCATGTCCAACCATGGGATTTATGGGCTAAATTGGGAAATTATATGGCACAACTTCGAATGGTAATTAATTTCGTTATCCAAGTCAAAAACAAACACTTTTTTTTTAATAGCTTTAGTTTTAGAACCCCAATTGTAGCAAGCCAGTATGAACAAACTATTTTTAATGGCATAATACATTTCTGCATTCTCAATGTAATACTTAAAAAAATTAGCCTGTGTTTGGCATTATCTTATTTTATAAGGTTTACATAACAATTGTAATATTAACTTGAATGTTGGTATGCTCAGGGCGTGGAGTTTGCTGGGAGAGCGAGCGGTTTGCGGGAGGGGGGGTTTTGCTGATTGCTGACAACTGCTGATTTGCTGTTGTTGCAGTGCATAAGTTATGAGTAAACTTTTATACTTATTGACAAACGGAGACACGCATTACGTCGGTACATTTGGCTGTCGCTACCATTACCACACCACCTTTATTATAAATCAAACGGGTGTTTAGCATTTCTATAATTTTCAAATATTTTGCTAATACATATTGTAAATAGTAAAGTAGAGTGGATGCGGCCAGTGGCGTGTTGGTTGGAGTTGAACTAATGCGAGCATTTGTTCGGCAGGCCGGTGCTGCTCGCTGGCCTGCTTGCTGCGGCAGTGCTGTGCTGTGCTGTGTTTGCAGATGCGCTCGTCTAGGTTTATTGGCGACAGCAGAAACACCCTCCTGCCCTGTTAGACCCACACCTTGACAACCTTTTCAGGATATATTTTTCGATGTGTTTCGAGTTTGCATCATTTTAGGTGTTTTAAGGAATAGGTTGATGACGCAAATGACTAATGGAGCTAACCTCTTCCTTAAAACTTTTCAAGAATGAAGACACATAGGATAGAGGTTAATCAGCAAAAATGAAGTATAATTTTTTCTTTAATAAATCTAGTAATACAAAAACGTGTTTTATTGTATTTCAAACCTTTATGAATCCATGCAGTAAATCCACCATGTGGGTATATTTATCAGCATGTGGGTATATTTATCAGTGTAACAAGGTTTTTTTGTCTGCCTCAAGTTACTGCCTTGGCATGTCAAACTACTTTTACACGAGACTTCGCGTGGAATTATCTAAAAATCTAGTAATACAGCCTATTGCTCAGTAATAACGTCACTTTTTATTAAAACATGAAAATCAGCCCAAAAATTTTAACACTAAGTTTTCTATTTAAAGCACAGTATGAAACCTGAAATTATCTTCTCTAGCCAAATTAGTTTTAAAGTGGTTAAATAATAAATCTAAGCAAGTAAATATTAAATTTCTATCATTGGAAACCTTTTGTATTCAAGAAGAGAAAAAAATATTAGTGGCATCAAGGTTAGTTTATTTTTATTATTATCCCTTGGTTTACACCATCACTGCTATCTAATAAGTTACTTGTAGGCAAATTTTCCTAAAGTGGAATAACGCGACATTTCAGTGGTTAAAAATAAAAGACTAAATTGATATAACTTTTTTATTAAAAACTTATGATTTAGAGGTAAAATTTATTATTAATAACCCATTTTTAGCATTATTTTGCTTGAACCATCTTCCAAATTTATGCTCTTGACCTACAGCTGCATACAATTGTGTACCATCTTTTGTAAAGTGCATACAATTTATAAAACCATTGGCCTGTATACTGAACATTGGTGTTATTTTTCTAAATGCCTCATATACTTTCCATAATCTGATACTATTGTCATATGACCCTGAGGCAAACATGTCAGAATTTAAAAGTGTTGCTAAACTAGTTATCCACCTAGGAACATTATTTTCTGACCCATGAGCTTCGGACACAGTACAGAGAGGTTTCTTTTTTAAAACACTCCACACACAAAGTGATCCATTATCGCTACCAGATACAAAATGTTCTTCATCTAATAATTTAACTTCATCCAAACTACCTACAGGTCCATTAAATATAAGTTGTGATTCTTCTATTATTTTCCATATTCTTACCGAGGTATCTCTACTCCCTGCAGTGATAGCTCGCTCTCTCGTTAATGCATCAATGGAAGTTATAGGAGCTTGATGACCAAACAATGTTTCAACATAAGCCATTTCATCTAATGACCAGATTTTAATAGATCTATCCTTGCTTGCTGAATACAAATCATGTGTGTTCCTTCTAAAAACAAGGCCAGTAACAATGTCTTTATGACCATTGAAAGTGCGAACATGTTTCATTGTATGTGGATCCCATATATTTATACTAGAAGATTCATCAGAAGTTGCTAAGAACTTCGAGTCTGAAGAAATAGCAACCGATGTTACACTACCTTTAAAGTAATTAGAATGAGTTTTAAATGTTAGGCAGCCGAGTTTTCTCTTTTCTTTGATTCCCCATTTAATAAGGCATCCAGATTTGCAACCAGTGAACGCGTACTGGCCATCTAGACTGACACAAACACATGTGAGTGTAAGCCGGTGTTCCCTCGCACGGATTAACTTACAATCGTTTTCTGTCGGTACTATATAACTGTCCGCGACATTAACACGTAGTTTACCTTTTTGTTCTAAATAGTCCTTTTGTAATCGTTTCTCTATCGCATCATCTATTTCTTTCGTCTCTGCTCTTTTTGCTTCCTCTTTTTCAATTTCTTCCAAATACTTTTTTGCCAACCTTAGCTTCTTTTCTTCAGCAGTCTCATGATCACTTTCAGAGTCTTCAGCGTCGGAAAACTTTTTAATATCCAATTCGCTATCAGATGATTCTTGGCCATTTTCTAGGTTAGGAGCGTTTTGTTTTTTTGATTTGGGTTTGTTTGTTTTTTCACCTTTTCTTTTGAAAACCTGCCTTGATTTACCTTTTTGAAAGAATGATGAAGACATTTTGTTATATTTATATATCTCACACGGGATATTATTTTACATAAACTTAAATAACTGCCAGCGCCAAGAAACTTAGCACGCTGGATTGGCATTTGACATCTGTCAGCTCATTTTGACATTGACACTAGTGATATTTAACACGCGTTCGGAAACTTAATGGTAATGAATTAATAATTAACATTAATGATACATTCTATTCCATTGAAATAATCTCAAGTCCAACGTAAAACATAAAGAAATAGATTTTTACCTATGAAATAAATAGCCACAGTGCCTATTTCTTTCTTATTTAGGGTGTCATGTTTCTCTCTTGGCTCTTGAATTATGAGGCAGAGAATGTGTGTTTCTATACCATTATCCTGCCAGCAATTTGTTCAGCATTAGGAGAATGAGAATAAACAAAACAGTTGTTACATAAACTTTTCTTAACAATAATCTTAGAAATACAATGTTAAATAAGTAGCATATATTGGTTACAAGTTACAATTAATTTAACTTTACAGATTTAGTTTATAAAACATTATTTAATAGTTCGACAAGATATTCCAAAACACAGAAAATGGAGAAAGCAGTACAAACAAAACTGCTCTTTGGAGAAAAAGTTCACTTAGAGACTACACAGATCATGTCATTTTCTTATCCAACAATTGTATTTGCTCCTCTTAATTGCAAATAGCCAGCTGTAATGTCCATTGGTAAACTTCTTATGGTAGCAAACTCCTCTACATTACAGTAAAACAGTTTTGAATGTCGGTCCACATAGGGAGCAGGTAACCCTGATATATCTGAATACTTTTTTGTGGGCTTAAATGTTGGTGGTGCATTAATTGAGTAATCTGAAATATAAACAGTCTGATTCAGTGTATTATTATCTGCGATGCCTGTCTACATTCCTTACATAAACTTAATTAGATACTGCATTATAACAATCTGAAGAGTTCACTGAATTACACATTTAGCGTAGGCCACTTCATCTGTATGAGTATTAATCTATAAAGCTATTACAAACATAGTACAGTCCTTAAGAGCTTGATAGAGTTGAGAGTGATAAAGCGCTAAGAGTTATATTATGCAATAATTACTGGAAACTTACATAAAACCGCATCATCTGGCCAAGGCAAAGCTCGTTCAGATGTTAATATTTGTTTCAAAGATCTCCACATTCGTTTCTTGCAACCACTTTTAACGATAAATTTGTTTTCAACTTTAAAGGGATAACTTTTCTCACTTTCGGGTGTTGTTGTAGTATACATGTTTTAAATATTAACTTCTAATACTTGTTTATAAATCCAACTTAATCTGAAATCTCAATTATAAAATAAAAAAATAAATATTTCAGTCGCGCTTTGTTGATATATTTGTCAATTGTCAATGTCAAATGAAGTAAAATGATCAAATGTCAGCTGAAGATCCAATTCATATCGTTTTTAACTGTTAAAAATAAATTGCATTTATATATTGCAATTTGCATTAAATTGCGTTTTTCACACGTCTAAATTTTCAAACACAGTCCTTGTTTATTTCTGCAAAATTAAAATGCATATTCTGTGTTCACGGAACTGTAATGTAACAGCACGTGGTGTTTCGAATCTGTAAACTTGAAAACGTAAAATTTCATAAATGTCAAACCAAACGTGAGATTTAGGTTAAGTTTTTGCGTATTATTTTAAGAACATGGATATAGTAAATGAAATTTTGGACAGAGAGCAGAAGAAAGCCGAGAAATATAAGCCAATAACAGTTGAGAAACATTTGGATGTAGAATTTGATATTGGAACACTTCTTGCTTCGGACACAAATGATTTGAATTTAAAAGTTTTACAGTAAGTGAGAAAATCAAATTATTGCTAAAGTCTGTATTTAAGTGCATGGAATTCAAAAAGTATTCATTAGTTTCATAAATCATGTAACATCTTCAATATAACAATAATTATAAGCTTAGAAAAAATTTAAACTTTTTGTAACCAAACTTATATCCAATTATTTATCCATCATTTAATTTAAATATTGCTACAGTAATAATAAACTTAATCCGCAAAGTTATTCTCCTCATTGTTATATGTAAGTTTTTTAAGTTTTCAATAACTACTTTTGTTCATAGATGTGACAATGAAAGAGACCAATATTTGGAGGCATTAACCAGAGATAATGCACAGTTATTATTAAACAAAGTATGGGAACTGCCAACTGAGAGAATAGATGAAGCAATAGTTGTACGACTGCCAGCGCCCAAAACTTTACTGCCTAGGTCCAAGCCAGTGCCTAAACCTAAACCTATGACTAAATGGCAAGAGTTTGCTAAAGCAAAAGGTATTACAAAGAAGAAGAAAGACAAAGCACAATGGGATGAGCAGTTACAAAAATGGGTACCATTATTTGGGTAAGTTATTTAAATTGAAAAAACTAAAACAATAGAAATCAATAAAACTTCTCAATTATCAGATTTGTTGGTGTGAAAAAAATTTAAGTAGATTTATTTAAGCACATTTAAGATTTCCTGTTTGTTTTAATTTAAAGCCAAAGGAAAATATCTTTATAGTATGTAGTTTTTTTAATTTTATAAAAGTGTGGCTTCAGTTTGTAAAAATTTAATAAATGCAATTTTATATTCTAGATTTAAGAAAGCCGCAGCTGAGAAAGAAAAGAATTGGCTCATAGAAGTACCACAGAATGTTAATCCAATGACAGATATGTACGAAAAGAAGGCTAGCGAAAAGACCGAAAAGGTGGCAAAGAATGAACTGCAAAGACTGAAGAATATCGCCAGAGCTAGGAAAGTGAAAATTCCTAGAGTAGGATTGCCTGTCACATCTGATAAAGCTAGTGCTACACAAGTAAGTTTTTTTTTAATAGTATAAAGTGACAAACATGCAAATAGGGGTAATTCGCCGAAATAGCGTAGTGACAGTTGATAGACATTAGCAGATATGTTATGTACCAATAATAAAAAAGAAAAGGATGCATAGAAAATAAATATTTTCTTTACTTATATGGCCCTCTCGCATTTCAATAACTACAGTATTGTTTGTATTCTGTTCCAGCTTGCAACAGCAGCGGTGGTAGCGAAAGCATCAACCGCATCTCTCGGTAAATTCCAAGACAAACTACCGAAAGAAAAAGAGGCGCGAGGTAAAGGTATTCACGAATTAATACCTGGCAAAGAGAGGAAACGAAAAGCACCAATACCAACTCCTCAACAAGAGAAACAAAATAATTTGAACCTAATTGACAAAATATTGAATAAGAGACCCAAAATTGATATGGAGAAAGTTGTGTCTAAACAAATACATCATGAACAAATTCAGTAAGTATATTTTAAATACTAGCTTATTCCCGCGACTTCGTCCGCTCGGACTTAAGCAAAAAAGTTAGTACCATGTGTTCTTCCAGACAATACTCTAGATCTGTGTCAAATTTCATCAAGGTCTGTTAAATCGTTTTGGAGATATATAATAACAAATATCTATCCAAACTTTTACATGTATATTATTAGTATAATAGTTGCTATCATTGATTATTTCTCACAGTTTACATAAGTTTATCTCCATATATATGGAAAAGTTTTCTTCTATACAACTTGATTTTTATTTTAAGTTCATAGTTATATAGTTAATAAAAACTATTGTTACAGGAGGTCAGAAGAAAAGAAAACTGCTAAACCGGGCAAAGGAAAACGTAAAGCCAAGGGAAGTAATGCTACGAATTTCACGGCCAAAAAGCCTAAAGCTGGCAAAGGACAGAGGAATCCTAATAAAAAGGCCACTGGAAGAAAGAGGAGATAAAATTTATACATAATCTGTATGGTAATAATTTTTTAATAATAAACAGTATGTTCATATTGAAACTCTCATTTCATGTCCTCTGAACATAATCCCCCACTAAGGGCTTAGAGACTCCAAGTACTGTAATAATTTGTTAAGCCTTAGGCAAAGACTTAAGTAAGCCAGCTCTGAACTTGATCTTGCTCTGAATTGTTCAAGGCAATTGTGTTGTGGCTCACCAAATGAATGAGTAGCTCAGTGTTTATTATAACTCTGGGTGTAAACTCCTCCACATTTCCTTCTCTATGCAGGTACAAATTGAACTGATCTATTTCAACCGAGCAAACGGAACTGATCAGTTGGTCATCAATTTTAGTTGAGACACATATATAGCTAACTAGCTTTCGCCCGCGACTCCGTCCGTGTGGTATTAAAAAAAACAAAACCAAGTAGCCTATGTGTTCTTCCAACCTATCCTCTACATGTATGCCAAATTTCATTGAGATCCGTCCAGCAGTTTAGGCTACAAACTCTAACAAACATCCATCCATCCATCCATCTAAACTTTCACATTTATAATATTAGTACGATTGACTAAAGCCAATAGTGGACCTAATTCGGTTGATTTCACCCACATTTTCCTAAGAAATTATTAGGTTTCATTTCACTGCTGCTGCTCTTTTGCCTCCTTCTATGTTAAAATGGTCAATATTAATCAAATATACTAGGACATTTAAATTAACTCCATTTTATATATTTTTTTTTAATTTAAAATATTAATAGATTTTTGTTAATCTAATATTTCCTTTAACCATCCCAACTAAGCTATAGGCTTGTGCTAGGATATGGTTCACGACAATAGTCGAATGGCGGGATTCGAACCCTCGACCTCGAGATTGGTAGTCCGTACCCTAAACCATTAGGCTATTGGCGCTTTAATTACAAACCACAAAAACAAATCATTAATTAAATAAAACATATTTTATTTATTTCCATCGCTTTAATATATTTTCCCTAATAGTCTGCAATGAAACATTAATTGCTCAAGTAACATAACTTATAAAAATATACAATTGCCTACAAATGTAATATTGCCATATAATAAAAACGATAATTACATATATTTGTAATACAATTAACAAGTTAAAAGCCTTTACACTACAAAGTTATACTTATGTACTACATTAATTCCTATAATTCCCACTACACAATATCAGATCTTGGAATGGGTTAGTAATACTGTAAATAGAGAACATCTAAACACTAAGTAACATATGAACACTTCTACTCGCAACTATAAAGCTCTATTGGAAGCCTCTACCATTACCATATTATTTAATTTACTGTTTTTATGATATCATAAATACATTATTACTTTAGATATTTAATTTGTTTTAGAACTGACAAATTTATGTAATCTATACATATAATGGTGTCTGTTTGTCAAAAGAAACATACCAGATTTCGGGAAGATAATGCGTTGCTCATAATGAAAATAGCATTTTATAAAGAAAATTGTCCGTTTGTCAACAAGCCGCGCTTCTTACGGGCAACCTCCTAAACAGCTGATATAGACTAGGCTTTCACTGAGGTCGCTGACATACACAATATATTATAGGCCACTTTTTTAAGTGCGTCAGAAGTAACTAAAGACAAATTAACATTCAATAATCTGTATGTTGGTTTGTTATTTGATTGTATTTTTCAAATATGATGAAACACATTTATACTCACAACCTAACCAGCCTTTATGTTTTAAAATATACACAAAGAACACTTTTAAACATATGTATGATATCACAATAACGTTTCTACATAATATTGCTGATTATTTATTAACTAATGTTACCTCTAATATATAGTTTTACATTTAAGTATTCAACCTTACAGTAAAGTTAGAAAAATAGAATTCATAGAAAAATAATGAGGCTAATATGATTCCTCAAGTTCATTTGAAGTACAGTTCTTTACATAAAATAAAATAATAACTAATAAAACAAACTATAGAAATATGTTAGATACAACATTACTGTATGTATAGTGATTGATAAAAAAGTATAATTTGAAATAAAATATGAAAACAAATTTGAAACAAAATGGGTTACGTATTTTTAAAAGAACGTGGCAATAAGTAGATAGTGTTTGGGTAAATGGTATGGTAAAAAATATAGTTTTTTGTCTATGGCAGAGATTCTCAACCACTTTTTTTGCAGCCAAATTTTGTCATAAACTATTTATACAGTGCGTTGTAGTAAGTAAATAATTTTTATCTTTTTCTTTGTGCCGTCAAATTTTGAAATTGCTAAATATGCGCCGCAACAAAAAAAGGTTGAGAAACACTGGTGTATGGTATAAACAACCTAAGGTGTTAAAAATAAATTATTTTATATGTGGCTATCTATAACCCTGTAGCTTATTTTAGTTATAGTAAAATTCAAAACACGTTAATATTCTTTGATTATTTAACAAATTTTTAAAATACAAACCAATATTAAACTTTAAGTAGGAATATCATTTTCAACATATTATAAAAATAAATTTATTTTAAGACTTAGATAAATGCAAATTACTATTTAATATCTAAAATTTATTTCTAGATCTAAGTGACCATAATTGATTTATAACCTTACTAATGTAACGTAGAACTTGCGTGACTTAAACTTAAGTACCTTTACTTAAAACATATCCACAATATTTGGCACAAGAGAAGAGTTCAAATAAATCACTAACTTTTTTTTTCTTTAAATAAAAGTTGAGTTCGAAATGTTTTGTGATCATTTAAAAGGCAACACTGAAGCGACAGTGGCGACGCCATTTAGTTTACAAACAATTGTTTACTATATCTTAATATTGTACTATACTAAGGGGATAGGAATTGTAATTAGGGAATATAAAACTAGTTACAGAATATTACAAATATTCTTAAACATTTGTATGACTACTTTCTTCAATGCTTTTATAGTCTTATAGTTTCTTAGTTTTTCATTTTCGAATGTTTGTGTCTCAATTTTCTTAATACATTTTTTGTACAACACAATTTTTTTCTTAATTCGTAACACGCTATGTGCATAAGATAATTCTTTTGGATGATTCTGTGCTGTTAAGTTCCATTACCGTTTTATACTAAGCTCTTAACGTTGATATAATGACATAACTTTTCATTCAATCTATTAATAAATTTAAATAATAATAAATAAGATAAAAGTTACAACTTAAAAGTAATTAATATCACAGGTTTTAAAATAGTAATAGTAAAATTGAAAATATATCTATCTATATAAATACAAGAATTTTAACACAATGACAGTCAAATATTAACCAAACTAAAATCTTTGCTTCGAACAAGCTTCGCAAACTGTATAGACATCAGATGTGGCATCATGTCTTCCCTTGTAATGGCACACAATGTGAACCAATTTTAAATTTTCCCGCGTAAAAATTTGCAGATAATACCTATCTGTATCAATGTTGCCATCGCTGTGATTTTCTTCACAGCTTATACAAAAACAGTTACCTAATTGTAATGCTTCGAAAGCTTTGAAAATACTCGGTATTATTGTACGGGATAGTTCAATTTTATGATCAAGGTTCCATGTTTGAAAGATAATTCTCTCTTCGCGGCTGCGATACGGGTTGATAACGTGTTCACCGTTATAACTGCATTTATCAATGTTCCATAAACCTCCACATTGAAATAAACCACTATCGGAGCACAAACGAAAGTTACTATTATCTTTTCTATTAAAATAACTCCCATTGTAATTGTTTGATTCAAGTTTCTTTTGTAGCTCTATGAGGAAGTGATCAATGAGTTGCTTACCGCGTCCATTTTTAGATTGTACGTATAAGTCGGATGATTTTAATGCAGTTTTCGTTTTGTAGTAATAGCCTCTCATTCTCTCTTTGGCTCGTTTGCACATTGATTGCTCTTTCGTCTTCTCAGATAATTCTAATCCTGTATATAAATAAAAGTGTTAATTAAAGGTAAGCAACGCATCTGCGATTAGAAACTTATGGATAGCAGTCGCTTCGCCATTTTAGCGAATTCATGCTTAATAGCAAGCTAAGTTATATTATAAATAAGAAGATGAAGCTATTAGAAGATTAAGCTATCCATATGTATAGACTTTTAGTCTATTTTTTAAATTGCCAATGAAAGCAATGTCAAATGAAGTCATAGATATATTTTGCAATAACAAAAATATATACAAAAACTAACGTGACCAACTAAAATAAACTTAAATAAAAGACGATAATGATAGAGTGTTCAGAAAGAGCTCTTTTAACATTATGCTCAAGAACAAGGCCTTTTCCAAGCTTTTAACCGCAACCCACAACAATAGGCTAAAAGTTTTTGCAAACAAGTTGAAGTACACTGCAGATTTCATGATACCGGCTTCAATAGAAACGAGAGCTCTTAAAATTATTAATTCAAGTATTGTTTATAGTCAACCATTTACGAAAATAATTTTTCAAAAACTCTTACGTATTTCGAGCCAGAAAACATGTATAACAATAGCAATTTGACTTTACTAGACCTTATACTAGGGGAGCAAGGTTTTTAATTTTCCTGATTGTTATGGAGTACTATCTTACTAATATTATAAATGCGAAACTTTAGATGCATGGTTGGATGTTTGTTAGACTTTGAAGCCTAAACGGCTGAAGGGATCTCAATAAAATTTGGCATAGATGTAGAGGATAGTCTTGAAGAACACATAGGCTATTTGCTTTTGTTTTTTTTTTCCACGCGGGCGAAAGCTAGTCTATAATAAAACTAAGTTTTAGATGTACCACACTAATTTAACACTGATATCCAATATGATTGAGACAGCCTTTAATAAAGCCTCCCTGTGGGTTTGCATCAAAGCATTAAAAAAATTTAATAAAAAAATCCTGATTAAAAAGTGACAATTTAAATTAGATTAGGGTACTGTAAGAGAATAAAAGAATAGTGAACAAAAGAATTAATGGAAACTAGAGCCTATTGTATACCGATTGCCTAGCTTACTGTTTGCTATTTAATTTTTTAACACATCTTACTTATATTATAAATGCGAAAGTTTAGATGGATGGATGGATGTTTGTTAGCGTTTGTAGCTTAAACTGCTGAACGGATCTCCATGAAATTTGGCACAGGTTTAGAGCATAGTCTGGAAGAATACATAGGATACTTTTTATCCCGGGAATAGTTACGGTTCCCGTGGGATTCATTAATTTAGTTTTTTAATATTTACTTGATCATTCTGCAACGGTTCAACATATCTTATTGAAATTTGGCACAGATATAAAGCAAAGTCTGGACTACACATGGGATAAGGTTCATCCCCGAGAAATGTCCGGTTCCCGAGGGATATGTAGCTTTTTGTTATTTATAGTTTGTATATTTTCGAATACCACGCGGACGAAGTCGCGGGCAACAGCTATACACATAAACATTTATAAATACAGAATATTCAATTATCTTTAACCTTGATGCTATGAAATCATTCAAAAAATGATCTAGTGTGTATTAAAAAAGAGTATGTTAAAGTTGATGGTTAAGTTAAATTGGATACTTAAGTGTGGTAAATATTAGTTCACCTTCAAACCAATTTGGATCTTCAGTTCTATCGCTAAGCAAGGTTTTAGCATCATCAGCCGCTGCAATATATTTCTGGAAAACTTTAAATTTATCCCTGATATTGGTGTTGAGAAATTCTTTAGCGGCAACACCAGTGTCAATATAATCCTTTTTTGATGTCCTTATTAAATTGTAGTAGAAGTCAAAATCTGAAATAATGTTTAAGCTAAGAAAATATATAACAACTAGTGGAGAACTTGTTTAGTAAACAAAATTATTATTATTAATTGTTTAAGTTGTACCATAGAATATATTCAATAAGTAGGAAATACTAAATTAATGATTTCTTTAATAATCTGTTAATAAAAAAAGGTATAACTATATGAAACAAAGAAGTGTTTGAGAATAAACGAATATTTTCTATGTAATTAAATTTTGTATAACATACCAGTTACCATTTTTTGTTTCTTTGTCAATAAAATGAATAAAGTCTGAGGAGGTAGGGTGGCAAGATAATCGTCGTCGTCCACCTGGGTCCCGTCCTCGGCAACAAAAAGGCGACACTCCGCGCAGCCGACATTGAACTGGGAACCGTCAAATTAAATTGGGTCAAGGTTCTATTTTAATGGGTCAAGGCGAGCTGTCCTTGGCCTATTTTGTACAAGCGTAATCACAGATTTTAAAAAATAATAGCTTTACGCCAAACGAGGACTAAAGTTCATTTAATTAATATCCATTATTATATTATAAAACAATAAAAGTTTATAATTAAACTTACACTTAGTTTTTGACATGATTTCTCAATTAACTCTTTCAAGTTTTCTGCAGCAACTCCAATCTTTTTCTCCCTTTTCACGTCTGTCACTTTGTACCCCTTTTTCATGATGTAAAAATAAATTATCACAATAATAAAAACAAAGAAAAATATATAGCCACTGTGCACAGCGATCGCAAGTCGCAAAATGTGTCAATGTCAAATCAAAATTCAAAAGTTCGAAATTGTCAAATACTTGGCAGTAAAAAATGTTGCAATATTTAAATTCTCAAATTCTACATTTTGCTCACTGTTAAAGCGTAAATAATTTGAAAGTTCTTAACAATTAATAATAAATTAAGTAAAAATAGCAAATAAGATAAATAAAAAATAAGTAAAGTGAATAATAAGTTCTTAATTTTGATTGCCGGTAACGAAATTGCCGTGCATAAATCAAAGAAAACAATTGAAATCTACAAATAAAATATACATCTGCAAAAATGTGGAAAATAACTTGCAGTTAGCAACATAAAAGTTAATGTCATTTTCAAATGAAGTTTTGAATGTCACTTAGATTTTTATTTACCGCCAAAAATAATAAAGATAAATTGCCTTATTATAAATTATTATCTAGTAAATGGAATTATTACTCATTTTAGATTTGTAGTTTAACATTTAGAAAATCCAATAGTAGTAATAATGTCCCTTAAACGAGGAGCTTTAATAGTTATTGAAGGTGTAGATAGAACTGGAAAATCCACACAAAGTAAAAACCTAGGTAAGATGATGAGTGTTTTTTAAGAATTCGTACAACATACTTGTGTTGTGATTAAAATACCTTGATCTAAACCGCTGATATCTTTCCCAAAATAGTTGAGAATTTAAATAATCGAAAAATCAAAGCGGAGTATGTAAACTTTCCTGACAGGAGTACTGAAATTGGCAAAGTAATAAACAGCTACTTGAAATCTAAGGTATGAAATATTACACTTCTCTTATTGTAAAAAAATTATCACGTATTCAACTTTTTTTTTATATTCTTTAGAACGATTTATCAGATGAAACCATTCACCTATTGTTCTCTGCAAATCGTTGGGAGAAAGCTCGGGGCTTAATAAAAAAATTGGAAGAAGGTATCAGCATTATTGTAGACAGATATTGTTACTCGGGAGTAGCATTCACTGCTGCTAAAGGTAATGAAAATTATTTATAAATTAAAAATCAAACTAGTCATATTTTCCTTTTGCTTGTATTAAATTTGAATTTAATTTGCAGGTTATGATATAAATTGGTGTAAGTCACCAGATTCGGGTTTACCAAAACCTGACAAAGTATTCTTCCTTACAATGCCGCTTGACAATATTCTGCAGAGAAATGGATTTGGCAATGAAAGGTTGGTTTTGTTTCAAGTATTTTAAAATTGACAGACAAGTTGCATGAGTAACATAGAGCAGGGTGGCAAAAGACAGAAGCAAGTGGAAAAGGTTGGAGAAGGCCTATGTCGATTGGCAAACAGATCTACAATAAATAAAAAAAAAATCAAATCCTAGAGTAATAAAGTAACTGTATAATAGTGTTTAATTATAAGAAACATTTTCCGTAACTTTGTGATAAGATCTGAGTTAATGGCTATTTTTTTATTTATTTTAAAATTGAAATGTATTTATTGTTGTAAAAACATTTCTATATTTGTTTGCAGGTATGAAGTATTGGACTTTCAGAAGAGGGTGTCAGAAATGTATGATAAATTGAAAGAAGATAATTGGGAGGTTTTAGATGCTAGAAGGTAATTGCATTCTTTTCTAACACTTGATACAATCTGACAGTATGCTTAATACCAAGACTTGTACATGCATAATGTGAACCAGGTTTTAATACTTTTTATTATCTCTTTAAATAGTACTCTGAAGTCTCCACATAGAGTTTCTGTTTATTTCCAAATTTAAAACTTACAATGCTATTATTGTGTTAAAATTGTACTCATGGTATGGTGTCATGGAATATGTTAAATACCAATATCAGATTTACTAAATAAATGCATAATGAGAGTTCAATATTTTCATTTAATTCTATTTTCAGATCAATACAGACTATAGAAGAGGAATTACTAGAGAAATCATTGGATGTTATCAAAGCAGCTGAATTAAATCCTATAGACAAAATATGGGTCAAATAAATTATGTAAAATTTGTGATATCTATTTTAAATCATGTAATTATGGTTGTATAAATAAAAAAAATATTTTGAATACAAAAGTATTTATTTTTTCTGAATCTTTTGTAACAAAAGCTTTGCACCTTCAGAAGTTTGTTGCTTTATAAGATTTGTATGTGCTTTAATCTTCTTTATTAACTTGTTTGCTATTTTCTCTTCATTGTTTTCAATTAACTTGAGAATGAAGAAACATCCTCTATTTGTTGGAATCCAGACATTAACCTGGAAACATGGCAAGAAAAGGTTACAGTTTTTGAGATCACATAAATAATCAAATCAAATGCATGCAGCATTTTAAAAAAAGATTCTTTGAGTTTGAAATTTATGTTATATATCCGAAAAGAACAATTATTCATATTTATAATTGTATGGTTGTTAAAACTTACAGCTTCATCATTCAAATGTTCACAAATAACTTCTCCAAGAGTACCCTCAGTCTTGTCTTTGTCTAGGGCTGCAAGTTTCTTGAGGCACATGTGTATGCCTGCATCTTCAATGGCCAATACTTCTTTGCCATCAAGATTTATGACCCAATTTGACTGACATATCACTTTAGATAATGCTTCTAGAATATCTTTTGATATTTCTGTGGATGTACACATAGAATTAGATTCTATTTTAAAGGATACAAATCAGAATCTATAACAGATTTTGCCATTTATACTAATATTATAACGAGGAAATAGTTGTATATTTGCATGTATTGAAATAACTTTAAAAAGGAGTAAGCCAATTTAAAACATTCTTTCATCAATAAAAAGCTATGTTATCAATGAGTAACAGAAGCTACTTATTTTACTATATTTTTAATTACATGCAAAGTAGAGAGCAGCAGCTAGTCTAATAAGAGTTGTTAATAAAATTATTGGCATTGCATTGCATGTGTTAAAATAAATATAAAACATTATATTTTGAATAAAAATAAACTATTTAATTCTTACCAATTGACAATACAGCTATAGTTAGTAGAAAGTTAGCTTTACTGCTCAGCCAAAAGTTGGCATCTGCTTCCATATCCTGCTTCAGGAGTGGCAGTATGGCTTCCCGGAGCTCTGACACTCGGATTTCAGCATCCTTCTTTGAAGTACCACTTTTAGCACCATCTTCTAAGAACTTTATGAAACTCGGATGAAAGGCTTGCGGGTCTTTAGGTTTTACCAACCAATGTAATACCTGGAAAACATTATTTCTCTTCTTATAATAATATCATTGTAAAGAAAAATTTAGTTGTTTGCATTTTGTTCAACAGTTCAATAGTCTGGCTCCGAAACTATTGTACTGTTATTAAAAATGCTTTTGCCATGACAGTAAAAAGGCTGTATTTACTAGATTTTTTCTAATACTGCTTGAAGTCGGTCATGGCCAAACCCAGTATTTTATAAATTTAAATGGATATTATTAGAAATGCAACTTACATCAACAAAGTTTTAAAAAATGTAAGTATTATGATTGGGGTATAAATACTACTGTTCGGTTAATTTTCAGACCTTGTACTTACCATTTTCCCCCAATGATCTTTGGCTATATCTTTCAAATTGCTAGCTAAAGTGGACACAATCGCTTTCTTCACTAAAACAGTGTCATCGACGGCGTCGAATATCGTTATTAAAAGACGATAAGCTGTCTTATGTTTGCTCAAAGACACAACATGTTCCTTCACTACTTTCATTATAGTCTGAAACAAAAACATGCAAATTTTACATATAAGTCAAGTTAATAACTTACATCTTATGTAATTACATACAGTACATTAAAAGAAAAATGTAGAATAAAACAAAAAAAAATTGCCAGATTGCATAGAAACTAAACTTAAATGTATGGTAAATTATCTCTATCTTTTTTTAATGTGAATTGTTTGTATTTGTTTATGAGACAACTAAAAGAGCAAAGATCCAGTGGTTCATAGCGGCCCAGCAAAAATATATGTAAAAAGTTTAGGGCTTATTTATTTAACTGATGTTAGTAATACAAACCTTTTTATCTTTATTAGTGCCTTGCCAGACACAAATACTGGCCGCATTGACACCTGGCAGGGAGTTGCTCAGCGGCACAATCAGCGGACTTAATGTTGAGATCAATTCCACTTTATCTTCTGCCGTGCACTCACATATGTAATTGTATAGTACAGTTTGAAATAACCTGGGAAATGTTTTTATGTGTAATATATGAAAGAAATGATGATTTTTTTCTTTATTAAATTAAAGTTGTGTTTTAACAAGTTTTTAGACATGTACATATCTTCTGTTGCTTTTGTCTTAAAATATGAGAATTTATAAAGGCATATAATAATACCAATGATACTAATATTATAAATGCCAAAGTTTAGATGGATGGATGTTAGAGTTTGTAGCCTAAATGGCTGAACGAATTTCCATCAAATTTAGTGTAGACAAAGAGGATAATCTGGAAGAACACATAGGCTCCTTAGTTTTGTTTTTTTTTAATTCCACGCGGACGGAGTCGCGGGATAAAAGCTAGTTTATCATATTTCATAGTAATATTAAAAATATTAAATTTGTAATTACACATCTCCAAAAAGGTAAAAGTCTCAATGAAATTTAGCTCAAATGTAGAACATAGCCTAGAGAACTTTAACTAGATTTTTAAATTTTGTGCAGACAAAGAAGCTTGCAAAATGTAGTGTTTATGTTACATTTTCCGA